CGGCACGGGCATCATGACCTGGAGGGGGGGGTGACCCGCCGCTTCCAGTCCCCGTCCATTGCTGTCTCAGCTTATGGCTAGTATTAGTCTGTGGCTGGGGGCTGACGTTAGCTGGTGCAAAGCGAACGTAGCTAACCAGCGCATACCCAGCTGGGAACACACTGACGAGATGTCTTGTGCCGGACGAGGATGCTTATCCTTATTGCAATCGCTGCAAGAGAGGTTCTCTTGCCCACACAAACGGCTGTCGTGAGCTCAAGGGGGACGAGAGAAAAACAGCTCTCCCTCACTGCTCAATGTGGCGCTTGCCCGGGTCCATCCACATCGCGCTCCTGAGGGTGTCTGGTGTCGGCTTCGCCAGAGCAACTGCCAGCAGCTTACCTCGTCTCCGGTCTGGAGTCAGCTTCAGGAACCGAGATGCAGCTTACCAGATGTCGGCTATGGCGGCTGGTCGGTCGAGACGGCTCAGTGTGGCACCCGTTGTCTGTTTGTCAGCTGTACGCGATGGGAAGGCTAGCTGCGATTCGTACTCTTCTCCTGCAACAACTGTGATGAGCTCAGAGATGAAAGGAGACAGCTTACCGGTGGTTTGCGATACGCAGCTGGCGGTGAGACAAGAGACACACTCAACGCTGTACTCAGCTTCGGAAAGCTTTGTGAGCTTGCAATGTACCGCGATGCCAAGGACCGTACTGTTTTGTGTCAGCTAGGCATTGTTTCATCAGCTCATCTCGAGGCTGAATGCCACCACCGTGATCTCCTGCCATGCCCTCATGCTGGAATTAGCGTAGGTTGCTACAGCCAAAAGCTGACCGTGAGCCTGTGCCTACCTACTCCTAAGAAGTGAACCTGTCGACCGTCCGTGAGACAGAACCCCGTGGGGAAGCGGAGTCAGCTACTGGACGCCTTCATGGCTGCACACCATCTCCCTTAGCTCGAAGGAGGGCCCAAAAGCTCTCCGCATACTGCAGTCAGCTTTGACCGGGAAGGCGAAGCGCGCGCATGTCAATCCCAAGCTTGAAGCTGGAGTCAGCTAATGGCCGCTATCCGGGCAGCCCACAGTGTCAAGCGCATCGTCTCTGCTTCTTGTAGGCCGGTACACGAGTCTGAGATCAGCTCCCCACTCCAGTGGCGGCTACTCACTCAGCATCACCTGTGAGCTATCACTGGCGTCAGCTTCGGCACAGCATACCAAGCATACCGCCTTCGTTTTCTGTCGTCAGCTTCCGTACGACAGGGTGGGTCCAGCTCACCTCCTATCTCCGATGAAAATGCTGCCCGCTATGTCGACGGAGTCGTCAGTTTTTCGGCGAGGTTCAGTAACTGTCGTATCTGAGACCTAGCTCAGAGAGAATCTCAACTAGCTCACCCCTGACTGTTAGCTAGATGACACCGCACCGTAGCTGTCACGCACAAGAGAAGAGACTGGGATGAGCTTGACACGGCGGGAGGCTCAACGCTTGGCACGTGTGCCCAAACCGACGAGAGAGCTCGAAGCAGGACGGGAACCTGGGGTCAGCTCACAGGCACGTGGCAGCTTCCGCCTACCTGCGAGTCAGCTCGGAGGCCTTCGGAGAGCTCACATTCTCCTATCTTGATTTCAGTACATCAACAGAGCCGCACAACTCCGGATTCTGTCAGTCAGCTTCACTCCAGAAATCGCGCGGCTCGCAGATCGGGCTGTGTTGGTACGGCTCCCGTCCAAGGAGCTGCTGGTCAGCTCAGAAGCAGAGTACACACAGCTACGTACCTGTGGCTGTACGTGTTGGATGTTAGTCAGCTGTTGGGTGTTTCGTTCTTAGCTCACACCTGGTAAGTGTCTTCTGGCGGGAGCGTTGGTACAGTAGTTATCTGCCTGCGAGAGTGTTAGCCGGCAGTCTGACCTTGAATTGGTCGATTCTGAGTTCAGCTACGCTTAGAATTGAGCTCTAACCCCCATCGTGCTGCTCGGACTTGTGCAGTGTTCGATATGACTCTCGATGTGCTGGTGGTCAGCTCACCCTGGCTGCGGAGCTGTTACTCACCGCTGACCGTTCGCTTCCATTCTGGCAAATTAAGAACACCTGTTGTCAGCTCTTCCACATACGCGGTCAAGCTACCTTCACACAGCCTGAGATCAGCTACCATGTCGGTGCGTCCCCAACTCACCTGACCGAACCGGTCTACGTTCCCGGCTTGCGCTTCGTGAAGACAGGTAAGCTGGGCTATCAGCTCTCAAAGCATGCGGCTATTAGCTACCTCCCCGCCACCCTCGGCCCCCGCCAGGCCGTGGTCAGCTTACCTCTCCACCCAGCGGACCGGCCGCGCTGTGTTGCATGGTGCCCGGACTGGTGTGAGCTACCCGTGGGGCATAAGCAGCTCATCAAAGTATCTCATGCATGCATGGAGACACGTTCTGGCGTCAGCTTTACAAAACACCTTGGAAGCTCACAAGGGCTAGAAAAGCCGCTAGTGCCACACTCCACAGGCACCAAACAAGGATCTCGTCAGCCGATCAATTTCATCTCCAAGCGACGTAGCTCAGATGGAAGAGCGTTGGGCTCATATGAGTTCACCCAAAGGGCAGAAGATCGAAACTTCTCGTCGCTAGACAGCTTTTTTGTTTTCTGCGCGCTGCACCTGAGGGATTGAGGATTGTTGGCTGGTCAGGGAAGGAAGGCAGGGTGGGTGGTGATTGGTCGAAGGTGGGAGGGGTAAGGGGAAGGGTAAGCCGATGACATCGGACGGAAGTCGACAGGTTGAGTGTCGTAAGCCGCAACCGGGTGTAGACTGGAAGGGGTCAGCTTGGCTACAGGAATAAGCTGACTGCATACGTTCGCAAAGGAGGAAGCTGCGTGGGTACAGGAACCTGACTGCGGCGATCTTGATGACCAAAGGATCTGTGGCTCTGCCATCAGCTAAAGCCGATCTGAAAAGAGCTCACCAAGCAGTTTCCCAGTTGAGATCCAGGTACGGTGTCAGTGTCTGCTGTCAGCTTCGAGTAAGACGAAGGCTTCAGCTCACAATAGTCCAAGCAATGGCGAAGAAGTGACAGGTTGTTTTAGTCCTATGCATCTGCTGTCAGCTCGGTTGCAGGCTCCATAAGCTCACATTGTTACAACGTCCATCTATAAAGTGACTGGTGTCAGCTACCCCTGGATGAAGATGAGCTCACCCGCATCCCCAGGCGTAGGCTGGGACCTAGAGCAAACTGGGCTCAACTGACTACCCACAGCAACAGCTCGCACCATCTCTACTCGTCGTCCTCCTCCTCAAGCGCATGCATCTGCCATTAGCTACAGATCTCGGGGCTTCCAGCTCACCTTGAACTCCAAAATGCCATTGTGCATGTGTGGCGGCATGCTGTCCGGCACGGGCATCATGACCTGGACGGAGAGGAAGCCCGTCTCGTCGATACGCAGGCAGACCTTGAGGCTGTGCTGAAGCGCTTTGGACAGGAGCGCGATATGCGGCGCGTGGTAGCTGTCGGAGTTAGCTGTTGAAGACTGCAGGTCAGCTAGTCAGAGGAGCGAACCTGAACACAACGGGCTGATCGCATTCGAACGCCTCCATGACCTCGCGTTCGTAGGGGTAGTCGAACTGGGGTCAGCTTGCTCATTGAGTCCCGAGAACTTGACAGAAGCTGGGGAAGATCATTCACCTGCAGTTAGCTATCAGAAGGTCGGGCATGAGCTCACCTGTACAGTTCCAAAATCGCCCTCGGCGTAGAGTGAGAAACGCGCTGATCGCTTGCGTTCTCGCTCACTGCCCTCGCCAGGCTTCAGCCGGAGGATAACGCGCGCGGCTGACGGTGGGAGGTCCATGAGCGCGTCACGGAACCAAGGACTCTGTCGTCAGCTACCAATGGCCATGGATCAGCACCTTCATGATCATGTACACGAGCCTGATGTTAGCTAGGCACATGCGGACAGCTCACTGGCTCTCCTCATCAAAGGGATGGTTCATGATCTCTTCCGGTTCGAGCGTGCTAAACTTGCACTGCGTCACAGGTCCCTTGCTGTCGTCCCTCCTTCCAGTCAGCTCGTCGTTCCTTTCTGAAGAGCTCACAGCATGACATCAAGGGTACTCCCGCGCCCAGCCCAGGTCAGGCGCATAAACGTATTCTTGCCCCTGTCGAAGCGGGGCGGCGGGTCGTCGTCTTCCCCCGGAAGGGCGTCACCGGCCCAGCGCCGCTTGCCGCCGCCGCCAGAGGTGCCGCCTGCGTTTCCGAAGATGTTGAGACACTGTAGGAGCGCATCTAAGGAGAGCTCGAACACGTCTACCTCGTCCTCGTCTTGCGGCGTGTACTCGAACACGGAGAAGAGGTTGGACGGGATCCACGCCGTCGCGCAAAGGGACTTGACCTCCTCGACTGTGACTTCGAACCCGGCGTCAGACACGGTCATGATTGCGTTCTGGTGTCAGCTATCATCCGGCACCACATAGCTTGTGGGCGTCGCACGGATGTAAAGCACTCATAAAGGAGGCTGGGAGTGCTGGTCGGTATGACAGAGAGAAGGGAGGAAGAAGGGAGGAAGTGAGGGGAAGGAAGGACAACGCAACGGTCAAGTCGTTGTATCGTGGGAAGGAGGGAAGACGTGCCCGAGGTGTGACGATGCAAAGACGTAGCGGGGGCGCAATAGTCGCGAGGGCGCATTCGTGCTGGCGTGCCAGGGGGCGAGGTGTGACTTACATGCTTCAGTCCAATGCCGCGCAGCAGCCGTGCGAAAGGACGCACATCTGGTGTCTCCGCAACCAGAATCTGTCTGTCAGCTAGAGTCCACCGGATCATCGACTTGAAGCTCACCGGTGCACGCTGGCTGGCCGCCTGGCTCTGGCTGGGACCTGCCTGGCTCATGATGTAGGGTTCGAGGGGAAGCCGGTCTCACTGTCGGGACGTCGGATACCGGAGTGTTGAGAATCAAGAGGATCCAAGAGTGAGTCTCTGAGCTGCTTGAGCGTGTATCGACTGTGAGAGTGAGCGAAGGGAAGAGGGAAGACACCAAAAGTTGACATTTGTTGACAACCCCCTCGCCGCGTCCAGTCATCCGATCGACCTCCACCTGCTGCACCTCCACCAGACCTTCCTGCGTGCCTCTGTACCTCCACTTCCTCTTCCTGCGGTATGAGCCTGACGAAACGGACGCCGTGCCTGGCCCCGCCGAATGATATCAGCGCAATGAAAGGTATGAAAGCACGCCTCCACTCCGTCATCTCCGCTGCCCTCCGCTCCGACAAGTGGTGCGCCTCGCCGTCATAGGTTTCTCACCCCGTCCTCATTACTCATATCATCTCTCTGAGTCACTCTTGACATCGAACTTTACATCGAACACTCTATCAACAACAATAATGGCCGGCGGTCGATCTCCCCTTCCTCTCCTGTTTGCGGCTGGACTTGGTGAGTATCCTTCTCACAATGATGTTCCCTTGGAACAGCTGTCTCAACCGTTCTATCCAGCTGGTGTCTTCCTCCCCAACTCTCCTCCTTGAGCCCCTCCCGCTCATCTCCCCTTCCCTTGCCTCTTGACCGTTCTCAGCCTTCCTCTCCCCTGCCCTCGCCCTCTCCTGCCTTCCTCAGCCCTCTTCCTCCCACCTTTCCCCTCCCTCGTCCCACCTTCCCACTTTCCCAGCTAAACACCGCATGCCAAAGCTAACCCCCGCAGGCGTCCTCTCGGGCCTGTACATCTGGAAACAGCCCCTGACGCAGTACACAGAAGAGCAGAAGAACAAGAACAAGCCCCTCGTCCCGCCCGGCGACATCTCGCCCAAGGTCTCCGAGGAGATCAAGGCCGCCGCCACTGCGCCCAGCACCGATGCCAAGGTCGCGTTCGACTCGGCAAGGCAGGCGCACTCGGAGCACGGACAGGGCGATGTCCCGAGCAAGTGAGTCTTGAGCTGAAGCTATTGCGGAGAAGCTGACGACAGGCGTAACTGATCTCGGAAATGTAGTCAGGTAGTAAATGCAATGTATCTCTTGCCGATCTGCTCTTGCTAGACAACAACTGTGAGGACCGGGGACGCTCGGCGCTGCGCGCCTCGCGCCTCGTGATGGTTCGCTGAGGTGTGACATTGTTTTATGCAACTATGAGAAAAAAATGAATGCCAATGCGTTTTGTCTTGAGTCTATCTAGTTCTCCTGCTTCTCCTTTCCAGCATCCTCCTTGTTATCCTCCGGGTCGACCTCCTTCAGGTTCTCCCTCGCCTTCTTCCTCTTCTCGGCGTCGACATCGAGCTGTTTCTCAATGTACACGTCCATCTCGTCTGCGTGCTCGAACGGCCGCTTGCCGAGCAGCAGCCGCATGTCCTCACGCGTGATCACCTCCTTCTCGAGGAGGAGGGCTGCGACCTTCTCCACATCGGCCTTGTGCTTGGTCAGCAGCTCGGTCGTGCGCGTGTGCGCGTCCTTGATCATCTTGCGGACCGCGCCGTCGATTTCCTGAGCGGTAGCCTCAGAGAAGGGTTTCTGGAACGCCTCCTGCTGTCCCTGCTGCCCGCCATAGGAGATGGGTCCGATGGAGGGGTCCATGCCGTAGTTGGATGCGACCTCGTGCGCCATCTTGGTGATCTTCTGCAGGTCGTCCTGCGCACCCGTCGTGATCTCGCCAAAGAAGATCTCCTCCGCCACACGCCCGCCAAGCGTCATGCACATCCGGTCCAGGAGCTGCTGCGTGCTGAACAGGAACCGCTCCTTGGGCAGGTACTGCGCGTACCCGAGCGCGCCGACGCCGCGCGGGATGATGCTGACCTTGAGCAGGGGGTCGGCGTACTCGAGGAACCAGCCGCAGACGGCGTGTCCCGCCTCGTGGTACGCGACCGTCTTCTTCTCGTTCTTGCCGAGCACGCGCGACTTGCGCTCCAGGCCCGCAATCACACGCTCAATCGCGCCGTCAAAGTCGTCCTCCGTCACGCTGTCGCCGTCGCGGCGCGCCGCGCGCAGAGCAGCCTCGTTACACACGTTGGCAATATCCGCGCCCGAGAAGCCAGGCGTCAGCAGCGCAAGCTTCTCCGCAATCGTGTCCAGCGTCAGGTCGGACGACAGCTTGAGCGGGCCAAGGTGCACCTTGAAAATCTGGCGGCGGCCGCCAATGTCCGGTCGGTCGATCGCAATGTGCCTGTCGAAACGACCGGGACGCATCAGCGCCGGGTCGAGCACGTCTGGACGGTTGGTACCGGCCAGCACGACGATGTGCTCCTTCGTGCCGAAGCCGTCCATTTCGACCAGGAGCTGGTTCAGCGTGCTCTCGCGCTCGTCGTTGCCGCCAAACTGTCCGCCCTTGCCACGCGCCTTGCCGATGGCGTCAATCTCGTCGATGAAGATGATGCAGGGGGCGTTCTTCTTGGCCGTCGCGAAGAGATCGCGCACACGCGAGGGACCGACACCGACAAACATCTCCACAAACTCGGATCCGGACACAGAGAGGAAGGGAACCTTGGCCTCGCCCGCCGTCGCCTTGGCGAGGAGCGTCTTACCCGTTCCCGGGGGACCGGAGAGGATGGCACCACGGGGAATCTTGGCTCCGAGCTTCTCGTAGCGCGCCGGCTCCTTCAGGAACTTGACAAACTCCATGATCTCCTCCTTGGCCTCGTCCGCACCCGCTACGTCGCGGAAGCGCACAGCAACGTCCAGGTCCTGGTTGAACATCTTGGCCTTGGACTTGCCGACGCCAAAGACGCCGCCCGATCCGCCGCCGACACCACCACCACGCTGGCGCATCATCCAGAGAAGGAATCCGGCAAAGAAGAGCGTAGGCGCAAAGTGGAGCATCATCTGGAAGCCGCTCGTCTCTTCGTGGTAGGACACAGGGATGCGCTCGGAGGGAGGAATCTCGAGCTCGTCCTGCGTCTCGCGGAGGAGGCGCTCAAAGTTCTCGAGCGAGCCGATCGTGAAGACATAAGGAGCCGGGCCGCGAGGCGGGTCGGTGGTGCCGGGGGTGCTGCCGCCGCTGGACGAGGAGCCAGAAGAGCCAGAAATGGGGTTGTGCAGGTGGACGCGGACCTTGTTGCCGTTCACGACCTCGAGTGACTGGACAAGGCCACGGGCGAGAAGCTGGTTGCGGCTGGGATTAGTTCACGCCATGGGTAGTTTAACTCACAATTCCTGCCAGGTGATCTCGCGGGTCGAGTGCTCGCCGGGCGAGGTGATCGAGTACAGGACATAGGTTCTGGGGTCAGCTACAACAACGGGACTTGAGAGCTTACGAGATCGCAGCAAGAAGAAGCTGGTTGGGCGTGAGGCCACCAAAGTTGCCGTTACCGCCCTGGCCTCCGCTGCCACCACCGCCGCCGCCTCCGCCGGTCGCCGTCTTCTTGCCAGCCTTCTCGTCGCTGAGCCTCGGCCTCCGGTCCTTCCAGTCGCCTCCGTCGTCATCGCGACCGTCATTCTTCGCTCCAGAGGGCTGGTCCTTGCCCTCTTCAGTGCCGTGCGTCGGCTGCTGGGGCGGCTTCAGAGGCTCGCTTCCGGGAGCCGGGTTAGGCGCCTTGGGCACCGTCTCCTTGCCGCCGAACACGCCCTCAAGACCTTGCGGCGTCGGTGAGTTGTTTCCCGGCCGGGGCTGGCCGGTGTTGGCGCGGAAGACGGACGTCGAGAGCATCGCAGTGGGCCGCATCGTGGGCCTCACAAACGCGCTACGCCGCATGGCGCTGCGCAGAGGAAGGCGGAACATGGTGTGGGGCCGTCGGAGTCGAGCCTCGGCGTCGGTTGTGGTGTGAAAGAGAAAAGTATCTAAAAGGAATGGACGTATGCAGGGAATGGAAAAGAGAAGTGGTCAAGAGTGTAGTGCGAAGCGTCCGTCGTCTCGTCTCTTCCGTGTCGCTCCCGGGTAGCTGTCCTTGAAGGAGATAGGAGGAAAGAAAACTCGAAGTGATCGGAAGGAAGGAGTGGGTATGGAAATGTCGGAACAGACGTTGCGAAAGCGTGCGTGTCGGTGTGTGCCGGGTCGTTCCAGATCGGCCAAGTGCGCTGCGCTACAGACTGCCCGGCCGACCGACCCTTGACTCGTGAGTGCCGCTGGTTGACGCTGGGTGGCGAGTGAGTGAGCGAGCGTCGGAGTGCGGGAGCAAATTTCCGCACTTGGTCAAGGGGGCAACGGAGTTATGAGCACTGGGCGTGGCGGACGCGATTCCGAACACTACTCGCCCAACTACGCAATCAGCCAACCCGAACCTCCTAATCACAGCCCCGCTCTTCGTAGCTCGGCTTTTGGTTGTCCAGCATGCATGCATGGGGAGCCTCGGTATGTGCCTGGGCCAGCCATCGTCTATGTAACGTTCTTCATGCGTCAATTTCATTGTGCACAGCGCCATGACCAAGTTGCAGCATCTGGCAGCGACTGGACGCCGGCAGGCGTCGCAAGCGAGTGACTCTGCGGCGAACACATGGGCTTGGCTCGACCGAGCCCGCCCAGTCGCCGCCGGTCTTGGACGCCACTGACGCAGCTCCCCTTGGTTGACGCACGATGACTCAGCTCTCAGCCAAAACTTTCCAGCGCCAAAAAGTTTCAGGGCTGTTCACTGAATCGAACCTAGGGTTGTTTAGCTGGCCACGTGGGTGAGAGAGCTTCAACACTCTCCCACGGTGGGAAGAGTCAACACAGCACGTGACCTGCTGGCGTCCACATTCCGTCGCCCAGTTTGCGGGATGTCCTCATTCCGAGGTTGAAGGGTGGTGACCCCCCGATCACATGCGACCAGAACCTTGGTCTCACCCTGACCCGCAAAGGACTGCTCAATCACAGCCGCGCGTTGAATCACGCAACGACAAAGACGCGCACGTACCACGGGTCAATGCCATCCATCCCGCAGCGTTCATCCATTGGCTTTGCGCATTCAAACGCTGTCTTGTCGACGGTGAAAGGATGCGTAGTGGGTCGCACACCGCCCGGCACAGCGACAGCGAACCGGTGCACACAGGACGCGCACTCTCTCTCTACCGGTGCAATTCTCCGCTTCCCAGCCGATCGACTGACTGTCTGTCCATCCGCGCGCAGCAGAGCAACCGGTAAAAGGCAGAGTCTGCGCACTCGCTCGCACAAGGATAACGCCAGGTAGTGTCAGCCAAGCATGCATCTTTTTTCCTTTTTCTCACTACTCACTCCACACTACACACTACTGCATTCACTCACTCCAACAACGACTCCACGAATTCCGGGCAGTCAACAACGTTCCCACCGACGCACGTGTCCACCAGCTAACCACGGTATGTCAACAACACCTGCGCCAGCGCGGACACCTGCGCGGCCGCGCCGTCGGCTTACCTCGTCGGGAAAGCGTCACGCCCCAAAGCAAAAGCAACAACTGACGCCGCCAGCTACTCCAACAACACGACAAACGCCAGTCCATGCTTCCAGCTATCTTATCTCGAAACCTTCCATCTCTATAATAACCCCGGCCTCAAACCGACCTCGAACCTGAAGACAGACACCGAGACCGAGCTTCCCTCCCCTGAAAGTCTGATTGCCTGATTCCTGCCCGTCAACAAAAATGTCGACTTTCAGCCTCAGTGGCAAACTCGAGCTGGGCTCGTTGCCACCAGCCGTCGTGCTGCCGGTACCGCTGTTCGCACTCTTTTGTGCAGTGTACCGCACGATCGCGCCGCGCTTTGAGACACAAAAGCAGCGCGCATACGTCCTCTCCACGCTCAGCTCGGCGACCATGACGCTCGCTTCCCTCCCGTTCGTGTACGGCTACCTCACGGGCGGCATCGAGCGCATGTGGTACCTGGGCAACAACGGGTGGACGAGGCATCTCGCGGACGTCGTGGTCGCCTTCTTCGGCACATACCTGTTCTGTAAGTATCTGTGATCTTCTGGATGCGCAGACGTCAGCACCGAGAGCCGAGGTGTCGATCTCCGAGGCTACTAGTCCTCTGAGGTCATAGTGGCTACACATCTCCATTCGCCACCGGAGAAGTACACGCTAACGCCCAGCCGACCTCACGATCGGATACGTCGCGTACCGGAAACAGGTCGGGCTGCTGACGGGCTGGATCCACCACATCGTCTACATTGGCGTGATGGCGCACTGCGCGACGTCGATGCAGTCCTGCGTCTTCCTGACTGCGAGCATCATGGAGCTGCCAACGTTCGATCTGGCCATCTCCAGTCTCTTCCCGGCGGTGCGCAGCGACGAGCGCTTCCTCACCCTAATGCTGATCACGCGCATCATTTTCAACAGCGTGCTGCTGGTGGATGCGCTGCGCCCCTCCTCGCGGAAGATCATGGAGGGCTCGTGGGTGCCCGCGATCATCCTGGGGCTGGCACTCACGCTGCATGTGAGCTGGATGCGCGGCGGCGTGGTGGGATACCTGAAGCGGCGCTCCAAGGCGAGGGCCGTGGCCAAGGCTGCGGCTGCGGAGGCGAAGGCGGCAGCGGAGGAGAAGGAGGCGAAGGAAGCGAAGCGGCCCCCGCACCTCGAGCTGGGCGGGAGCACGCCCGAGGACTCGCCCCTCGTCACGCCGTACGCCGCACCAGCCGACGCATTCATCATCCCCGGCGTCGGGCCCTTGCCGGCCATCCCCACCCTGTCCAGCCTCACAGAAGCCCTGCCCCAGGCCAAGGCGAATCTCTCGGCGCTGCACTCGGAATTCAGCGCCGCCGTCCACGCGCGCCTCGAGGAGCAGCGCGAACGCCTCGCCATGCACGGGTTCCTCCGCCGGAGAGCAGTATATGCCGAGGATAATGACGACGAGATGAGCGATTGAGCGGGAGAGAGTCTTCAACATTTGTAAGGATTAGTTCAACATAGAATTCTTGTATTGCCCCCTGCCTGAGGGGCCACGAAATGTCATGATGTTTTCACGAGGATCTGTGTGAGTTAGCGAGGGTTGGGGAGCGTGAGTGAGAAGGTCAGAGTTGCCACGTCCATGTGATACATCAAGTCTGTTCGACAGATAACTACAGTCTAACACCAGCTCGCACTGGCACTCTCGTTTCGCCTCCAAGTGACTCGCGGCTCGCGCGGCTCGCGCGACTCTCCACTCGCTGCGCTCGTCGCTCGCCCGCTCACAGCCTAACACCTTGCCCCCTGGCTCCCCTAGCGAGCCAATCGACCTCGTCCTCTCCGCCAATCTTGACCGCGTCGCTGTCGCCCGAATGGCTCCCGCGGTCCGTCAACTCGTACGCCTCCGGTCCATCATCCTCCTCCTCGCCCACATCATGGAGGACCTCCCTCGGCCCGCCATTGGTGTGCGGGTTCTGGTTCAGTTTCGCGTATCCCTCGGCATCCGCGTTGACAGTGTCGAGCTCGGCGTACTTGGCCGCGTTGCGCCCCGTCGTCGCGTAGAGGTGCACCAACCCGCTGATGACGAGGTAGATGATGAACGACAGCGAAAAGTCGAACAGGGCATACGAGACGTAGTCGATGCCGACGTCGTCGGCGTGCCGGAGCTCCTCGTCTGTCGCGCTCATGAACAATGTGCCGCCCAGCGTGAGCAGATAGGGCGGTAATTGCTGGAACACGCGCGCGAGCCCGGGCGGCGTCGGCTGGTCGTGCAGCACGAAGCAGACTTCGATGATCCGACAAACCCCCGCCGCCATTAAAGCGTACCCGAACATGGCGTGGATCTTTGTGCTGATCATGAGACTCTGGGTGTGCGCGCTCATGCCCCACCCGGTCATGACGATGATGGCGGCGGGGACGAAACTGCGCCGCCCCTTGCGACTCAGGAAGAGGCCTAGCATGCCGCCAGCCCACCACAGGACGCCCATCATGGTGTGCTGCATGTCCTTGTGTGTCCATGGGCCGCCATGGTGCTCCGTGAACGTGTTGATGATGCCCCACACCGTAATCACCGCTGAATCCAACATTTCCTGGGATTGGCCCGTCCGTGCCAACCACCGTCCGCCGAGATTCAGCATGATCACCAGAATCGCAGCGTAGCCGATAAAGGCACTGCCCATGATGTAGTGTGCGGCGCACTGCCCCAGATTGCCGCCGCGGCAGTACCCGAACGCAGTCGCGACGCCGAACAGCATCTGCGTCCACCCGATCACGGGGAAGGCCATGCCGAGCGGCCCGTGGACGCGCTTCACCCACGGCCTGACAGTTCCCTCAAGGACGTGGAGCTTGAGAAAGACGCCGCAAGCCGTTTGCACGATCAGCACGAATGTGATGATCTTGGCCATCGTCCCGTGCACACTTGAGGGGAACTCGCGCCCGCCGTGGTGGTGCCCCAGCCAGGCTGCTATGAAGGTCGTCACGACGCCGATGCTCTGCAGCGGGACGTGGTAGCGTGACCTGCGCGTTAGCGAGGGTTGTGTAAGCCACACCGGACTGTCGGGCAAGTCTGGGCCGTGCGTGCATCATCGGGCGCCGGGCGCTGCCGAAAGGACACCGAGACTTCCATCGCTGATCGGCTAGTCGACGCCCCGTCGACGCCCGACACTAGTTTCCCACCTTCGGCGCCGGCCCAGAAACGCCAGTTTGAACTCACTTCGACAAGCCGAGAACCATGCCTAACGGGAAGAGCAGGCCCCACACAAACGTCTGCACGCTCATGTGCACCCACATGATCCAGTCGATGGGGACTTGCGGGTCAATGTCCTCCACGGCGTGGTGTCCGTGGGCGAGGGCTGGAAGTCAGCATGCGAGCGGCGGAGCGGAGCGACGCCGCGCAGCAATACGGCGAGCGCAGCGGACATCAGGCGTAGCAGAGTCTGGCTGTGGCGACGTGCCAATGCCAGTGCAAGCCCAGAAGCTCAGGCTGGCACTTGGCGCCGCGCAGGCTCAATTGTCTGCACTGGCCAGTCTGGCCGAGCTCCACTGTGAACGCGACGTACCTAGCGGCACCGAGGCTGCGAGAGCGAGGAGATGGCTTCTCCGCATACTGTCGTTTTGTCGTGAGGAATGGTGAGAAGACAAGATTTGTTATGACACCGAAGTAACTGGCTTCGGTGGTGCAGCGCGGCCAAGACGTAGGTAGGTACCCACGCATGCCTCCAGGCTCACAGGCTCAGGCACGGCGTCGTTCGCCACAGCCCTAACTGACTGGGTGACCGCATCGGGCATCGGCGAATGGCGCCTGCGCGATTTCTACGAGTCCAGCTTCTCAACTTTGTGTTGCCGATCGGTACAAGGATCTCTTATGCATCTATTTTTAGCGCAGAAGTGCGAAAATGCTGATCAGACTGTTCATGACCTGCAAGAAGAAAGTGCACGTTTGCGACTGCGAGATGGAGCAAAGGACCTGCCTGCATGGGTGACAGATTCGGAATCTCCGTGAACAGTCACGTGACCATAGCACCCACGCGAGATTACCCACCTCCACCTGCAATGTTGTGGAGGTGAGTTCGAGATTTCGGCAAGCGTCGAGCTCGACGACGCTGGCTGACGTCTGACGTCTTGCACGCGCACCTCACTTCCCTCTAACCCACCTAATCACAACGCAACGTCGGCGCCATGACGACCCACCTGGCCCGAACAGCATTCACGTACCCGCTCCAAACGCCCAGTTGGTTCGCGGGCCACATGGCCAAGTCGCTGAACCAGCTGCCCGCGCTGCTGGAGGAGGTCGACCTCGTTCTCGAAGCGCGCGATGCGCGATTACCTCTCACCAGCGTCAACCCGGCTTTTGACAATGTGCTCGAGCACGTGTGGGGGCATTCTGGTGCCGGACCAGACCGGCACGGCAAGGGCAAGGAGAAGCTTGTCGTATACACGAAGCGGGATCTCGCCGAGCAGCGGTACGAGGCGGTGAGTCTGGTTTGCGAGCCTGGGCCGGGCGTGGAACCAGCTGGATCCAATCTGACGAGCAGCCTCTCCGGAGAGCCTTCCAGAATCTCACGGGTCAGCGGGTACAGTTCGCCGACTCGACTGTGGACAGCAACGTCCGCGCCGTCCTCAAGGCCGCCGTCAACATTGCGAAGGAGCGCGGGGAGACGTTGACCGACCTCAAGGTGCTGGTTGTTGGCATGCCGAATGTGGGCAAGTCTTCGCTGCTCAACGCTCTGCGACGCGTAGGCGTCAAGAAGGGCAAGGCGTTCACGACCGGCGCTACGCCAGGCGTCACGCGCAAGCTCACAGGAACAGTCAAGGTGTATGAGAAGCCGAACGTGTACGTTTTTGACACGCCCGGCGTCATGGTTCCCTACCTTGGAAAAGGGGAGGTGGGAGCGGAGCGTGGGCTGAAGCTCGCCCTGACGGCGGGCATCAAGACGGGCCTATTTGAGGAGGAGGTCGTGGCCGACTACCTCCTGTACAAGATGAACCTGCGCCTAGCCGCCGAGGAAATGGTGGGCAGTGATCATCGTCGTGAGTTCCCGTTTCCACAGCTCTGCAAACGAGATGATTAGCTGACGCCAGACGCGCCGTACACGCAATTCCTGGGCCTGCAGGCCACCGCAGCCAGCGATGACCTGAACGAGTTCTTGGAATCCCTCGCCGCGCGCCTGGGAGGACTGAAGAAGGGTGGTGCACTCGATACCGAGAGTGCGCTGACGTATCTCCTGCGCGTGTTTCGGGAGGGCAAACTGGGTCCTTGGACGCTGGACGACCTCGACGGCGCCGAGGAGGCGTACATCGAGAAATACGGCGAGGAGCGCGCTCCAGAGGCCAACATGCGATACTCGGAGCTCGGGGCCGTGGGCGTCACCCCAGCCACGGATCTGATCGAGGAACCGCCGATAGACCTGGGCGATGGGCCGGAGCCTCCTGCCTCCACACCCATTGTTCAGGCTGCAGTGCAGAATGTCGAGGCTGAGGGGGGCGTGACGCCGGTCCATTTGTCATTAGACCAGCGGGTCATGCTCTCAGTGTCGAGATTCATGGACCAGCTCGCGGAACAGAAGGCCGATGAAGAGGCGGGACGGAATAGGTCCCCGACCCAGGTCAAGAAGCAGGAGCGAAGAGAGAAGCTAGAAGAGAGGAGGAAGAAGAGCGAGGCGAAGCGGCAGAGGCAGAAGGCGGCGCTGGCCTCGGCGAGGCGGTAGACCGACACTCACCCTTCATTCTTAAACCCGTCTACACTGCATCCCTCACGCCCCCCATTCCACCATTCCGACTCTAGTGTAATCCTATGCATATGAGGTGTGAGATCATGCTGTTTGTGTGCTACTCCTGCCTCCCTCTCTACATCTTCTCTACTACTGCACCGTTCGCTCCTTCGCTCGCTTCGCTCGCAAAGCGCTCACTCGCGCAGCTTGGCGACGACCCACGACCGGCCCGCCCTCAACCGCCTCACGGTCTCCTCCCGGCCCAGCGTCCACATCAGCTCGGCTATCATGGGTCCGCTCTTCTCGCCCGTCAGCGCATGACGGAGCGAAAGCATGAGCTCGGACTTCTTCTTCAGCTTCAGATCCTTCGCGGTCTGCTTGATGACCGAGTCAATCGAGTCCATGTCCCAAGCCAGAGAGGGGGAGGAGAGAGTCGTCATGATCTGTGCGAGGCCCTCGACTGTTTGTCAGCCCGATCCAGTCTACAAAGCTTTCCATTGCTCTGCCCCGCCCCTCACCCGTCCTTTAGAAGCCAGAGCGGGAGATCGAGCGGACACAGAGCGACACGTACCGTAGGTAGTCGCCTTCAGCTTTGCGAAGAACGCTCCAACCTCCGCGTCATCATAGTTCGGCCCCTTGAAGAAGTATGCCGACTTGGGCGCCATCTCGTTCAATTTTGTGGCACGGGGAAGCTCAATGTTGAAGATGTTCTCGATGAACTTGGCATCGTTCAAGCGCGGTCTGCGTGTCAGTTACTGTCACAAGGTTATCGGACAATCAACTTACGAGTCCTTCACCTCGGGCAGCGCCTTCAGGTCCTCCGTGAAGCGGGCGATGAGCTGCCCGCGCTCCTCCTTGGCCGTCTCCTGCGCCTTCTTCGCCTCATTCGCGCCGACGTCCTTCCCGACAGTAGCGAGGAACTCGGGGTCGTCCCACATCAGGCCCGCCTTGCGCCTCAGCGTCATCTTGTTCAGGAAGTCGAGCTTGCTCCTGCTGACGGCGGCACGGCGATGGTTGACGAGTCCCAGGTCAAAGGCCTGGATCAGCTGTGGCATAGAGAAGACCTCAAAGTACGAGTTCTGGTCCTGCCTGACGTGGTAGGGCAGGCTGTCTACGCTCTGCTCGAGCGCGGCGTGGTGGTCCCACCCCATCAGGGCGAGGAAGTTGACAAGCGCCTCGGGCTCGTACCCCGCCCGCTCGTACGCTGCGACGTCGACGTCGCCGGATCGTTTTGACAGCTTCGTCCCGTCCTCGTTGCAGAGGAGGGGGAGGTGGCCGAACTGCGGCGGCGTCCATCCGAAAGCGGAGTAAAGCTGGTGGTGCTTTGACACACTGGGCAGCCACTCCTCGCCCCTGAACACGTGCGAGATGCCCATGAGGTGGTCGTCGACGACGGACGCGAGGTGGTATGTCGGGAACCCGTCCGATTTCAGCAGGATGAAGTCCTCGTTCTGCCCGCCTATCGGCTGTCCCTGGCCGAAGATCAGGTCCGCCGGCATGCTCGTCACCTTTGGATCCATCTGGGGTTAACTCAGACCACAATGGAAGTTAGCAGGAGGGGACGGGGTGACGCACCTTGAAGCGGACGACGTACGGCCTGCCCGCCTCCTTGTTCCGCCGCACCTCGTCGCGGGACAGGTGCCTGCATCGCCCGTCGTAGCCCTGTCGCGTTCCCTGTGCACGAAGAGAGGCGCGGATAGCAGCGAGCTCGTCTGGTGTACAGAAACACTCGTACGCGTGACCATTCTAAATGTCAGCTAGAAACGAATGGATTGAAGCTCACGTCAACGAGCTCCTTCGCATGCTCCCTGTACAGATCTGTTCGCTCCGATTGCGTATATGGACCACACGGTCCACCGACTCCCACACCCTCGTCGTAGTCGAGGCCAGCCCACTCGAGGGCGCTACGGAGCGCGTCCACACTGCCAGGGACAAGGCGGGACTGATGTCAGCTATAGTCCGGTCCGCTGCCAGCTGTAACTCTGGGTGCTCAGGCCGGACGGCCCAGAGTGCACTCACCCGATCCGTGTCCTCAATGCGGAGGAGCCACTTGCCTCCCCACTTGCGCGCGAGGAGGTGGTTGAACAGCGCCGTACGCAGTCCGCCGAGGTGGAGGTATCCAGTCGGGGAGGGGGCGAACCTGAGCCTTGCGTTCTGCGGCACGGCTCCCGCAGCGTTCTCGGGCGCGAGATGCTGGTGCGACGCATGCGTCGAATGCAGCCTGCACAGGCGCGGCGAGACGAGCCTGAAGCTCCGCGTTGCTGTCCTCATGGTTTATCTGGGTGGTCGTCACAACAACAGACCTCACACCGGGCCGACTTTTCGAACCCTCATCTCGCGGACGGACACGGAGACCGGTCCTTTCTCCGGTGTCCCACGTGAGATACATGGGACGGGCGTGCCTGAATCCGGGGACCTGACGTTCTACGTCTACGCGACGTGTTAGAGCCCGGACCGTAGCGAGATTCATGTCCTGTTGCAACTATCGACGAGCTCTCGCCCGGCTGGCTCGACTGGCGACACACACCTACAACCATGCCCCCAAGCGAGGTCCGGGTCGCGTACACCCTCTATCCCTCTGGCAGCGGGGACCTGCAGGCTGCGCTCGAGGGCGTCAGCGCGCAGTTCCCCCTGCGCAACCTGCACTGGAAGAGCAGCACCCGGCCAACACTCCGCACGATGCAGGAGGTCGACGTGCGGCTTGTCGACCTGAAAGACGTTCCGCCGGGAAAGGAGACGGTGGCAGGCAGCGTGCTCGAGTCGCCGCTCGTGCACGTCTGCTTCGTGTGCTGTGACGTGAGCTGGCTAGTTCTTGATCAAGCTGACGAGTGCAGGACCCAGACGTGTACAAGAACAACACGAAGACCTTCATCAAGGACTGGCTCTCGCTCCTGTCAAGTCGGCGCGCGAGCCATGTGCCCATGATTGTGCTCGTGAACCCGTCGTCAAGCGGACACACAGCAGCGAGCAGCAAGAACGTTTTTGGCCGCGATCGCGGTATCATCGCAAAGCTCCGGACAGATTTCAACAATAACAAACGTGACATGTGAGCTTACTTTTTCACGGTCTTGAGCTGACAGACAGCTGTGCTCAGCTGAATTTACCGATTCCCGGAACGACAGACCCCGCCGCGTGGCCCGATGTCATCAACAAGCTGAAGGAGAGCATTGTGTCGGCGTTCGACGCCGCGATCATCGAGCGGGAAGACGAGGTCAAGCGTGGCGAGTCGCAGAAGGTCACCGTCGGCTGGAATTTCAGCACCTGGTTCCTCCTAAAGGTGAGCTCCTATCGCAGGTTCAAAGCTGACACGCAGGAGTCCCTAGCACACTCGTTCGAGGGCGTCAACCTGTGGGAGGACGCGCTGATCATCTACGAGGAGCTCGAGGCGTCCTTCCTCCAGGCGTTGAAGGACCAGAACTTGAGCTGGTTTGACAAGCTCGGCGGGACGGATGAGAACGACGACTCGCTCCCCATCCTCGACATCGGCGCAAAGCGGTACCGCGACATGCTGACGCAATCTGCCATCTCCGTCTTCGACTTCCGGATATACCTCTTCGCGTGCCAGTGCAAAGTGCTCGGCAAGCTGGGGCGTGTGACGGAGATTGCGAAGCGTGGGCAGTGGTTCGTCGCGAGCCTTGCTCGGAGGTTGCGGGAGAACCAGGTGAGCTGCCCAGCGCCGCCAAGCTGACATCAGTCTGAGCTCCCGCAGTTCTTCATCGAGAGCTGGACGTACAGCGCGTGTATGGACCTGGTCGCGCGGTGTGACGAGTGGTCGCGCGTCGACCGGCCGAACAACGACTACTCTGGCCTGATCGCGTACGAGTCGGCGCGAGCCGAGTTGCTGGACATTGCGCGCGTGCAGGCTGAGCGTATCGGTGTCGAAGTAGGCTTCCTCCCGGATCGCTATCCGTTCAAGTCGGCGACCGCGCTCAAGAACTCGGACATGCTGTTTAAGAAGACGGTCGACGGCGACGCGCCCAAGTTTGCGGACCGCCCGCTGTCGAACCCCGTCTTCGTTGACGCGCTCAAGTCTAAGGACACGTTCACTCAGCTCTACATCGACCTCACTAACCAGGCTCTCCAGGCGTACGAAGCATGCGGCAAGGTCAACTCAGCCGTACGGCTGAAAACTGACCTCGCTGCTCTTGCTCTGTGAGCTTCACGCATAGGGTTGTCAGCTGACGACAGGCACATGGAGGACTATGACTCAGCGTACATCTTGTGCCGGAATCTGGCGTACGACTGCGCCGACCTGCACGTCTGGGACCCAGTGTCCAAGTTTGCGCTTGTCGGCGCGCTCAAGGCGCATGCCGAGATGCAGCGACCACAGGACGACGACTGGGCGCATATGGCCGTCGCGTATCTGGATGTGTGCTCCGGGTCTCTCTCGGCGGGAACGGACGTGGGACAGCTGGAGAACGTGATCAACGGCCTGCGGGACGCGAGCGAGGCGCGGCAAGTCAAGGACACGATTGTCTTCAAGTTGCGGCTGTTAGACAACGTGGCGCGCGTGTCCGAGTCGGACCCGACAACGACAGAGCTCACAGTCGAGGTCAACAACACGCTGCCGATAGCCGTCGACGTGGACAATGTATGGCTCGAGCTCGAGTCGGACGCGTACGGCGTGCTATCGTACGGCAGCGGTCCCGTCCGATTAGAGCCAGGACGGCAGCTGCTGATGCTGACGTGCGCGACGTCGATCAGCGGCGCCGCGATTCTACGGGACGGCTGCGTCGTGCTCCGCAACATTGCCTTCATGGCGCCGTTCCCTGCCGACCAGTCTGTCGTCCCTATCCAGCGCAGCCCATCAGGCATCCGCGCTGCGCTCCACATGCCGGCCGAGATTGCGCTCGATGAGGAGCCCCGCGTCGTGCTCGACGTTAAGAGCGGCGAGCACGCGCTGCGCAACGTGCGCGTCTCCGTGGCGTCCCTCCAGGACGAAGTGCTGTATGACACGGAGCGCACGACGGGCGAGGATTCGGGCGAGCACTTCAACTCGACAGAAGGCTTCATTGCGTTTGGCGATATCGACGCCGACAAGACGGTCACGGTCACGTTCCCGTACCAGGGTGTTCCGCGGAATGAGCTCGCGCGCGCTCGCATCACCATCGAGTACGAGAGCAAGGCGGGCAGGCTGTGCAGGTACATCGACGACCAGGCTGTGTTCATGGGTCTCCCAATCACGGTCAACGTGCAGGACTTCTTCCGGCCAGACGAGTGAGTTACCAATAGCCCGAGCTTTCTAACTCCCAGACTCGTTTCTAGCTACTCGATCGCGTCCGACGGGCGGGAGTACATCCGTGTCGGCTCTGTCGACCTCCAGTCCGGCTCGGAGGGAATATACCAGATCCAGCCGTGTCGCGAGAAGTGGGAAGAGCCCATCGTAAGCTTGTTATATGTCTCGCTTAGCTGATCCCAGCTCATCTCGCCGAGTCAGCCGCTGTCGTGCCTCTTCAAAATTCAGGTCAAGGGCGACCCGACAGGAGAGATGCTCCGTCTGGCTATCAAGTACCAGACGGTCGACGAGGGTGGGTGTCGCTCCCGGACAGTGCTAACCCATCAGAACTCTTACACTCCGCTGAGCAGGCTCTGACGCAGCTGCAGGGACAGAAGGGCGTGCAAGCACTCGCGCGCCTCGTCCGGGTCTACGTGACGGAACGCGGCGACTGGCTCCAGCCCTACCTGCTGGACGGGGACTTGGGTGCCGTTTTCGGCCCCAAGTTCGAGGCAGCGTTAGGCAACGCCGTTCCCTCGAGCGCCGTGGCCGCGTTCCTGTCCGCTGTCTCGTCCCAGGGCCCCGCTGCTCCGCAATGGCGCACGCTCCGCATCCCCGTCGATGTCCCGCTCGGCCGTCTCCTGACCTCCGTGACACTCACCCCCTCCTCACCAACGACAATCTACGAAGGCCGCGCGATGGCCTTCAAGCTCTCCCTGAACACCTCGGTAGCGTGGCTGGGCAAGAGCTCCCCGCCAGCCTACCGGGTATCCTATGACGTGCAGCCGAGTGCCGACGACTGGGTGGTGGTGGGCAAGAAGCGGGGCGTGTACGTCGCGACGCCGGGCGAGGTGGAGGAGCAGGAACTCGTCCTCGTGCCCGTGCGCTACGGCACGCTGGCCCTGCCGCCCATCAGTGTGCAATTGCTCGACCGTGAACTGGCCCAGCCTGGCCCGGAAAGGGTTCTGTGCGAGACGTACGGCGCAAACGCGGCACAGGGCATCAAGGTCCTCCCCGCGCGTACGGGCATGGCCGCACTCGTCCCCGTTCAACCCGACTGGGCGGAGTAGCGATCCGCCCGCGCCTCCCTCGCTTCACTCGCTGCCTTGTCGGCACCCCCTCGGGTTCCGCCGGTCCCTCCCGTCCCGCCGCGCAAGCCGAAGCCGCAGCCCAAGACACCAGCCACGGCGCCAAAGACTCCCCTCCAAGCTCCACGGCATCAGATCTAGGCAACATACCCCGCATCACGTCGTTGATTGTAATACTGTTTTACTTTAGTCCTTATCCCACAACTCGCTGCAGCAGCAGCAGGAATAGATATAGCGTAGAATGCAGCAGGCGTGGGAAATCGTGAATTTGCAGGCCTCCGTCTCAGATTCGGACAGTGCCACACAGTCTGACGCCCACACTCAAATGCCAAGTGGCGATCCAATTGGCTCATTTCTTGGACTACTTTACATTGATTTTCCACTTGTACAAACATAAACCCTTGTCTAATTGCTACTATGTCTACCACCTTGCGAGCACGGCGCCGACGTACTCCTTCGTCAGCTCGAGATTATGATACTCGCTAACGCTCCTGAGCATGTTGAGTTTGGCCGTGATGTCGCCCCGGTGCAGGCTGGGCTTGAAGCTGCCTCCGCACCGACACGTCTGCGCGAGATTGTCCTCCTTGATCTGGCCGCACTTGAGGCACACGACGTCCTGGGTCTGCCAGCGCGTGATGAGGCGGTTCACATGCTCGATGAGCGGGAACTCGATCGCGTCCCGCTCATAGCCTGCGCCGCACTTGTGGCACGTCCAGAACTTGCATGGGGCGGGCTCAATGTGGCCCCTCTCCGTTACCGAGGGGAGACAGTCGGGATCGCGGCCCAGGTCTACGTCGCGGATGGCGTTGCAGCGCACACACGACACCATGGGCACGACGAGGGATTCGCCCGGGTTGCGGAACTGCGCGTCGGAGCTGAACTCGCGCACGCCGACGAGGTCGAGAAGGTTGCGACGAAGGACTTGTACGCTGACGCTCAGGTCTGACGCGAGAGAGTACACCTCACACACTGCCTTGATGAAAGCCAGGGCCGCATTCGTCTCCTTCACATTCCGCGCTCCAGGGAGGTGCGGGAACGCCATGGTCTCGTCCTCGTCTCCATTCGCTTGCGCCTGCGCGTGTCGCTTCTTGATCTTGGTCACGTCCTCGAGCAGGTGGCGCGTCAGCGTGGTCGAGATGGCCTTCGCAGCTGCCTTCTCCGCCTTCTCCTTCGCCGGATCGACAGCTCCGCTCGTGTCCACGTTCAGGTCGAACATGGGGCGGAGGGGGCCTCGCCCGTCCGTCGCGCTCTTCTTGGCTGTGTACAGCTCGTAGATGAAGTCGGCGACGCGGCGCTCAAACTTGGGCTGCAGCATCGGGGGCAGGAATGCCTGGATGTTCCAGTCCATGCTGATGTCGAACATGCCTTCCTGAGTCTCCTGCGATCCCGCGACAGAGGGCGCGATCTTGACGCCGCCATAGTTCGCGACGTCCATCCACGCGAGGTAGTTCCAGAACTGTGTCACGTCGATGACAACGTGCCGGAACAGGTCGTGCGAGTTGGCTGCCGTCACAAGATACTTGGCGAACGCAAAGGCGGAGCTCGCGTCCGGCTTCGAGGTCAGGAGGAACACGCGGTTCAGGTCCGCATACACGACCTTGGTACCGAGACGCTTGAACTCGGCCAGCAGCTGCAGGAGCGTCTTGCGCATGAGTCCCATCAGGAAGCGATACAGGGCCGGCTCGAACATGCAGCTCGACGCTGAGGAGATCCAGCGCCAGAATTGGTCGACAACCAGATTGGAAGGCGCGTCGTACACACCGCGGACGTGGGCGCGGGCTTTGTCGACGAACCAACTGCGCACCATCGACTTGAGAACCGTGAAGGTTTGGATGCTGAGCGTGGCGTCTCCGAGCATGACGCTGGCGTTCGCTGTGCCCTGCGCATACTCGTCGAGGGTGTGCGACGCGGAGCCGAAGGCCATGGAACCCGAGCCCGAGCCCTCCATCTCGTTGACGAGGGCAGACTGCAGCACAGCGTTGATTGCCATGTCGGCGATCTCCATCTCGAGCACGACAGTGGAGTACACTCCCTTGGTGCTGATCTGCGGCGGAGTCGGTTCCTCACCACCATTCGCGTCCTCTTCAGAACCTCCGAGGTCGGGGCGCGGAGACGGCGACCACCAGAGCACCATGTCGGCAGCCTGCAGGCGACGGGCAAACTCGAGGTCGGAAAGGAGCATTGGCGGGTCGGGTCCGAGGTTCTGGAAATTAGTAGTTGTTCTCAGACGAAGTAGTTGCAACTTACGCCAACGGGCACATCGTAGTGCGCGGCAATCTCGAGCTGGCCAGCAATCCAAGCCGAGAGCTTCATGTACTGTGCGATCATCCTGCGCGCCGTGTTCACGAGCCACATGAGGCTTGGCTCCTCCTCCCTCAACGGCTTGATAGTGATGACGGGGAACTCCGAGAACACCGCGGCGCGAGCCTGGTAGTACGCATGCTCGAATGGCGAACACAGCGCGATGACGTTCAGGCCGGAGCGGACGCTCTGCAGGTCCTTCGCGAGCTGGCGCATCGCGCCCGCCTCGGTCGGGTAGTAGTTGACAGTGCTGTTCAGCTCCTCGGGGTACTTGAACGCGCCACCCGCGGCGACCTTGTCGATGCGGTCCGCGTACCACTTGTCCGGGTTCGGCAGCTGCTGGCGGTTGCGCGCGGCGTCTACGATATAGATTTTGGCGTTGCCAGAAGGCGGGAAGAGCGCAATTAAGTGCCGAGAGTTCACGGTCGCGTGGAACAGGAAGTAGTACCGCAGCCCCTTGCCTTCGTTCAGGTACTTGTGGCGGATGACGCTGGCGCCAGGACGCTCCAGCTCCGACAGGTCGAAGCCCTTGTCGAGACCGCGGTTCAGACCGCCGAGGTTGGACGACTTCAGCGCGCATGCTGTTCCGAGACCGAGAAGAGCGCGGACGAGCAGCGGCACCTGTAGCTCGTAGGCGCCATCGACTTCCGGGTTGTTGATCAGGGATGAAAAGTGGCTCTCACCCTCGACGAACAGACTCTCCTCAACGGCGATCTTGAAAAGATTGCGCGTCGCCTGACCACGGGGAAGGACACGAGCGACTTGGGCTGCCTCATACATGTCAGAGAAGGTGTCAGATGCCGGCTGGTTCTTGAAGTTGAGATAGAACTCGCGCGGAACGCGGAGACGCACGCTCTGGAACGTGCCGTCGATGGCGAGCCAGAGGCGGAACTCTCCCGGCCGTGTCGTGCACGCGATCTGGACAATGTCCCACTGTCTCGAAGCGAGGTTGACGCTCTGCGTGCGGATCATAGACGACACGGTGCCGTCCATGCGAGGTCCACCGTTCTTGCGAGCCCGCGAGCGCTCGATGCGCTGCTTGCGCCACTTCTTACGCATGACGCGGATGTAGCCCGAATAGTCATCTTCGGGGCTAGGAGCGATCTCCTCGATCTCGGGCGACTTGGCCTTGCGTCGCTTGACGACCGCGATCTTGGGCTTGGGACCGGTCGACTTCTTGCCAAAGTCCTCAATGTCCGTGTTGGTGCGCATCTTGGCGAACATGTCGGTGAGCTTGTGCTGCTGGAACTTGTCCTCCTTGGCGGCAACACGCTTGAAGAGCCAGTCCGGGTGCCGAATACGAGGAACAGGGTTCGCGACTTTTTGCAGTGCGGCGGGAATAGTAATTAGCTTCTGAATGACGCTGCCTAGACGTTCGGTGTAGTAGCCCCAGTCGAGTATGGAGCGCATGTCGAAGTCGGTCAGCGCGTTGTCCTTCAGCCACTTGCGCAGGAAATGCTGCTTCACTGTCGGGTCGGCGTCGAAGATGGCGACGGGGACCGCACGCTCAGTGACGGGCGCGCCGTTGGGCTTCGCGCTGATGATGAAGCGACACGAGAGACCCTTGTCCTTGACCATCTGCTCTCCCAAGAACTCGGCGAGACGGCGCGCGGTACTGATCGAGGTCGACTTCTGGCCAGCGTATTCGGCAAGGGTCTTGCTCATGGACCTGTTCTCGGCAATGAGGTCCACAAGCTCAGTGTCACTAAGACTGGATCCCTTGCTCTGGAGAATATCCAGCCACTGGTCGGCGACAGTCGCGACGGCGGCGTAGCACTCCTCGATTGTGGATCCGAGCAAGAACTTGTCGAAGATCTGGGACTGGAAAATCTTGATCATCTGCAGCTCTCCGCGACGCTTCACCTCGAAACCCTTCAGTTCCGCAAGTGAGCCGTCAAAGTTGAACACGGCGTAGCGCTTCTTCAGCAGCTTGTCCTCCTCTTTGGAACTCGGCAAAATCATCGCTTTGTACGGTCCGTCGAGTTCGAAGAAGATCGAGTTCTCCTTGCGCACCTCATAGACGCCCTTTTCCTTATCGACGAGGTCGTGGTACTGGTGATTCGTGAAACGCTCGTGCACGAGGTGATTCAGCATGGTACACGGGTACGAGATGCCAAACTTCTTGCCGCCCTTCAACTTGAAGTTGAAGTCCTCGGGGAATACGCCGGGAAGCATGCACCAGATACCGTCCGTGTCCAGTTCGAGGGGACGTCCGATCTGCTCGACAAGCTGGCGCGCCATCTGAATGATGGTGGCACCCGTGAGACAGGTGATGCCGGCCATCTCCATCGAGTACCATCGCGCGCCCTTGCGCATGACGTATCCGTAGAAAGAGTTGAGAATACACTTGTGCGCGAGTTGGAGCGAGTCGTAGAGGACGATCATCTTCTTGGCCTCGTCGACCTCCTGCAGTGCGCCACCGTTCTCGAACGCCTTGTCCAGGTTTTTCTTCCAGGTCTTGTGGAGGCCCTTGTACTCGTAACGGCGGTCACGGAACGCACGCACTGTGTCGATGTAGAACGAGTTCTCGCGCTGGCAGATAATCGCCGTTTTTGTGACGACCTTGGTCTCGTGCGTCTTCTTGTACACCTTGCGCGAGTAGTCGCCGAGACGCTTGTGGATCAGCGCCGACTGCTCAGCCTGCGCAAGATCCACGAATCGTCGTCGCGGTCCGTTCGGGTACTTTGGCGGGAACATCTCCTGGTCCAGAGCGTAGCGGACCATGTTGACCTCATCACGCTTTGCTGGGAAGTACTCTCCACGCCATGCCCACTCCAATCGTCGGTCGCACTTCTTGTCTGGTCGGTTGTAGTCACACACAGCGCACTCGGCCTCGTCTTTCACGGAATCTGGTTGCAGTCGATTACTCAACATGATGTTGGGGTACATCGCGGCAACATCCAAGTGGTAGATGAGCGGCTTGTCAAAGCGGTTCGGCTCGTCGCGTATCGTCTCGAGCATTTTGGTGATCTCGCCCTTGACCTCGTCATAGTTCTCAACGTCCTCGAGCTTGACATTCCCTTCCTCAACGAGCGAAAACTTGAGCGCGTTGTCAAGGTCGTCCAGCAGCTGCTGGATCGCCTCTGGCACGACCCTGAAATTTGTTGGAATGTCGGCGCGGAACACGCCTGCCTCGAGCGCTTCGACGTGTCCTCCAACATATGTCTCTGACGCGAGCAGGTGTCCCTCGTACGTTTGACCGTGTGGATCCTCGTGGCGATTCGGCATGATAATGTGCGCGTCGTACGCCTCGACCTGAGAGTTAGATAACAACGACACCCTAACTCACCATGAGCAGTGTCTCGCATAGCGTTCCCGATCCTTTTCGCAGGACCTCATCAGGGTTGAGGGGAATAATGTTGCAGAGCGAGAAGATGAAAGGGTTGACATACTTCATGTAGAGGTAGTAGGTGGCAACGGCGTCGGAGACGGAGTACGTCGCGAGGATCTGCGGCTGCTCGATGGCGTACGGCGTCATGAGTTCCGGGTCGAGTTCGACGGGGTTGTAGCCAAGCTTGGCGGTCGTGACGGCCTTGAGACCTTGCGATCCCTGGGGGAGGTACGAGTCACGCTTCACCCATCGGAAGCAGTCCATGTGCATGCACGCGCGGCACTTGTACTCGCCCTCGTTGTCGATCTTGAACCCAATCTCAGAGTACATGCTGATACCGTGGATTTTGGCACGCGCGTCGACAAACGGGAAATCGAATGAGTCACCGTTGTACGTCGCCATGACAGTCGGCTTGGACTCGCGGATGTGCTCGAACCATCGCCGGATCAGCGCCGGCTCATCCGGCTCGTTGAACACTGTAAAGTCGCCTTCGTACTCTGGCTTTGGTGTGTATTCGAAGTCGTCAATGTCCTCGGACACGATTTCGCGGTTCGTGATGAGATATCCCTGTCCGTCGATCATGTATGAGATCATCATGATCTGGTCTGTCTGCGGATCCGGGAACTTGAGCGGCTGCTTCGTCGTCTCGATATCGTAGGCCATAACAACCGGCTCGGCACGCGCAACACGGTCGGTGACGCGCTCAAACTTGACTTGACCCATGTCGCTCGTGACACTGTACCAGAGACCGACACGGATGTCTGTATGGTCAGCTAGGACCTCGTGTGCGGGAAGCTGGACTCACTCAGGTCAATGGCGACACGAAGGTGGTACGCGATGTCGTGCTCGCGAATCTCGACGATGCACTCTGACGGCTCGCGTTCTTTCCGTTTCCGTGCGTCCTCGTCTTCTCCCCACGCCTGCTCCGCGTCCTCGTCTTCGCGCTGGTTGGCCTCGGCGCCAACCACGTCAGCGTAAGCGTCGACGGCGGTGAACTTGGATGCGTTCGCGATCGCGAGCGGCAGCAGTTCTCTTCGGACTGCCTGCAGGTCGGCTGTGTTGTGGAAGAAGAGCTTCAGAAGCACTGGCGGCGCTGAAAGCAGGTGATTCGGCACGGCAAGATCCCACTTCTTCTCGCGCGCTGTCCGCACGACCAGCCCCTCGAAGCGCTTCACGAGCCACTCCTCCACCATCGTTTCCGTTCCTGCCTGTTGGTCAGCTATGCGTCTCTGTAGATAAGCTCACTCTACACGTCAGGTAGAAGTAGGGCTCATGTGGAATTGTCGCCTTGAACATGGAGCCGTCGTCCTGGATGAAGTAGTAGTCGACGGCGGCCAAGCCACCAGCATGTGTATCGGACTCCAGCAATGTCTGTCATGTTTGGTCAGCTGTCATCTTCTCCTTACAGCTAAACGCAAAAACGTTCCCCTCAGTCACGAGTTTTCTAGGCTCGCTCCACCCTCCTAAAGTTGGATAGGCGTTGTAATCATTATTCAGTGCCCAGTGCGGAAACATCATCGGGGACGTCTTGCTGATTGGGTGAGTACGTACCGAGTGCATGTTGACGAGCCAGCCTTCGCGGCTCTCTCCGCCGACGCGTCCACTCTCGAATCTCGGGAAACCAAGAGCCTCATCAATGGCATCGTAGATCTTGACCTCCTCGAAGCGCTCCATTTGCGCCGTGCCGTCATCAGCGCGCTCGGGGGCCTTGCCCTGCCCCGACCCAGACGGTCCGCCATTGTTGTTGTTGTTGGAACGAAAGTTGCCGCCCTTCTTCCCCGTGAAGCGCGTGTTGCCCTTGGAGAAGCCGCCGCGGCCTCTTCCTCGTCCGCGGCCCGACATCGTGTGCGTGTCGTGTCGGGTTTGTTGACGTGGTGGTGGTGTGGAGGAGAAATCAATGTAGATGAACAGCCTTCTGTGCGCGCTCAGCCAACGACAAACCAGACGCGTCGCGGGCGCGTCTGCAAATGGTCATTTGGGGCTCCGCAGCGGGACCAGAATTCTCGTGTTTGTCTGCAATTCAAGTGACTTCAACGATGTATTAGGGCGGGTTATGCTTCCGCTAATCGCCCATCCTAATCAATCTGCTAATCTCTGTACGTCATTCTCGCCGCTTCGCCAGCATCTCGAGAGATTTCGCACAAGCCGATCGTGTCGTCAGATTGTGTCCACTCCACCACCATGTTCAAGAAGTACGTCGACCCCTGATACCTCTCAAGATAGCGCCAGCTGCCTCCACACGTGCTGCGAGCTGACCCCAGGTTCAACCCGAAGGAGGACGTGTCGAGCTCGACGTCGCTCAAGTCGAGCGTGCAGCGCAACATCCGCGGCCAGCTGCTGGAGCAGATGCCGCTCCTGACCAAGCCGGCGTACCGCGAGGGCGGCGCTGAGAAGAAGGAGGAGGCTGCGCCGGCACCTGCCGCTGAGGCTGCTCCCGCCGCGGAGCCGGAGGAGGAGAAGGGCGGCAAGGGCGGCAAGAAGGGAGGCAAGGGCAAGGGCGGAGGCAAGAAGGGCAAGAAGGCCGACAAGGAGCCCGAGGCTGAGGAGGCCGACGAGGGCGAGGTGCTCGTCATTGACGAGATCTGGCCCAAGAAGGAGGCTCTCGGTCTGACCAAGTGGTAAGTCGCGTGTCTGCCGTGCCAGCGGGGAGCGAACCTTCGACAGCGCTGTGTTCACATAGCTACAAGATGGTCAGTTGATAGCTAACTCCCAGCCACGACCGGATAAGCATCTACACGATTGCTCAGCGCCCCCTTTTCTTCAACCACTACGACGGCCCGTTCATCCCGCACCTCCGCCTGCTGCACAAGTATCCCGACCTCCTGCCGCAGGTGCAGATTGACCGCGGCGCGATCAAGTTCTTGCTCGCCGGCGCGAACATGATGGCCCCCGGATTCCTGAGCAAGGGCGGCAAGCTCCCCGACGGGCTCAAGAAGGACGACGTCGTCGCCATCATGGCCGAGGGCAAGGAGAGCGCGTGCGGTATCGGCAAGATGGTCGCGAGCACCGAGGAGATCAAGAAGGCTGGCAAGGGCGTCGCCGTCGAGGTTATCTGCTGGGTTGGGTGAGTGCCAAGTAGCGAGCCCGAGCGGAGCGAGGGCGTAGCGAGCAGAGCTGCGTTATCGAGGGACGTGTAAGCTGACAAGCAGTGACGACCTGTGGAAGGTCCAGACGATCGGCCTGTAGTTATATAGACTGTAGACGTTTCGCGTACGCATATCTGAAAATCCGCTGACTGTTGCATCTGAGCTGCTGCAGCATGCGCTCTGCTTCCTGCCTCTTACGCTTCTGTCACTCTGTCTTCTCTCACCGTAGCCTCCCATCTTATCTTGTCCTCAACCCATCTCGTCACCCATACTCAGGCTGGCTGGAGCATGTTTTCCATTGTCCTAGCTTATCCGCGCCCACCCTTAAATCTCCATGACCACCACCTCCACCAAGCTGCACCCCCTGTCCCAGAACCAGAATTTTGGTCGATCACACCTCCACCTCAGACCTACACCAACAACCATGCCGCTGTACAAGCTCACCTCGAAGCGGCTCGCGCGCAAGGAGAAGGCGGAGCGGATTGCCGCCAAGGCCGAGGACTCGGATGCGTCGAGCGTCTCGGACATGGAGAGCGAGGACAGCATTGTGTTGAGTGATGAGGATGGTGAGTGCGCGAACGCAGCGCTGTGAGCGTGCACTGAGACGAGTGCCACGAGCGTGCTGCGAGACATGCGCTGTAAGCGTGCACACAGGCCTCAGCAACAGGAGGAAGTGGCAGGGACACGCAGCGCGCAGCTAGAAGTGTTCGGGACGAGCTAACCCCAGACCTCTCCAGCGACGAGGACGAATCGGACGACGAAGCCTCCGATTCTGACGTTATCGGTGAGCCTTTTCTTTTTGCTGATAGATAATGACCTAGCTAATATCGACAGGTACGAAGCGGAAACGCGCCGACGAGTCGGAGGACGACAGCGGTGCCGAGAGCGGGGAGGAGCCCGAGTCGGACAGCGAAGAGGAGGTCGAGATGCGGCGTGAGTATCCTCTTCTATCGGACCCAACCTGGACTTGGGTGGGGATAGGAGCTGAGCGAATCTTGGAGCATGGCTGACAGCCCAGCCTTCACGCTGACGATTGAGCAAGTGGAGGAGTCTCCGCTCTTCTCGCCCCTGACGACGGAGTATCCCCAGATGTGTGTCGTTTGTCCCGAACGCGTGCTCAAGCATGAGGTCATGGCGAGGGTGCACCTGGACTCGAATGTGAGTATGAGCGGAGCGCGAAGCGCGAAGCGGCGCAGCGGCGAAGAGGTGCAGCGCGAAGATGTACGCTGCAGGCTGTAACGGGAGGCATAGACTGACAATCCCAGGCGCACAAGCGGGCCATCAAGCGCTGGACCCAGCGCATCGCAGCAGGCAACCTGCCCTCGACGGATCCGCGCGAGATCGTCGAGGACATCCAGACTTCGCTCGCGGCATCAAAGGCGCCGAAGGCTAAGGCCAGCAAATCGAAACCCGCCAAGACCACCACTACTACCTCCTCTGCTCCTGCTCCCGAGCCTGAGGCCGAGTCTGAGGCCGAGGACTCCGACGATGAGGACGAAGCAGAGGCAGAAGAGTCCGGCGAGGAGAGCGACGACGAGGCGCCCGCCCCCGCCCCCGCCCCCGCCGTACCCGAAGTCGAGAAGAAAGAGGGGGCCAAGCTCAACCGGCGCCAACGCCGCGCCCTCGCGCGCGTGGCGGAGGGCAAACCCGTCGATGGGAGTAGCAAAGAGAGGCGGAAACGGCACCTCGAGGCAAAGAAGAGGAGAAAGGAGGCTGCTAAGAACAAAGAGGCCAAGACTGAGGCCAAGAAGGAGAGTAAGAAGGAAGGCAAGGACGGGAAGAAGGTCAAGAAGGCTCGGAAGTCTATTGACCTCTAACCCCACTCCCATATCCCCCTTCCTTCATTCTTTGTCTCTCCCATGTCTCATCTACCATCTACCATCATTCTCATTCCAGAATCAAGCTCCCATCGGAGCGTGACTAGCCCCGCGGCATAGATGTAATACTTATTTTTCATCCCGTTACAACGCAACGCGTTACCTAATATCCGACCGACTTGAGGTAGTCGGCCAGCTTGGACACGACGACGTTGGCCTCGCCGGCCGCCGTGCCGTCGTACTCGCCGACGAGGATCGCCTGCGTCGTGGGAATGATGAAGACGCCGCGCTCCTGCGAGTGTCAGCGCGAGGATCAGCACGAGAGTCAGCGATGGCTGGCCCGAGACTTCAGCTGGGGTTGGATCCCAGTGGACCTAGACGCCAACCAGTCAAGGGCCAGCTGACCGGCCAGTTGCACTTACGCCTTTCCTGCCAATGACCTCGGTGTCGTTGGCCTGGAGAGCCATGAACTTGAAGCCGTTCAGGGTGATGCCGTTGGCTGGGGTCAGCTCGAGCTGCATCTTCTAGCTAGGAGTGAGGGAGCCGCGAACGGGGTCTACACCCTTGCTCGAGGCCACACTCCGCTCGCTGCGCTCGCTTCGTTTCCCTCGTTACTCACCACGGACAGTGTCGGGGTCAGTGAACGCCGTCTGGGTGATAAAGTCCTGCTCGGGCTGGGAAAGCTGTTCTGTCAGCTTTGGTACCCTTGTGTCAGCTCACAGAGTATCCCGACGAGGCGGCCCAGACACCGCCCTGCTTGCCGAGGATGGCGGCCTTGGAGATCTTGCCGGTCGCGAGGAGCTGGTCGTCGACGTAAGCTGTTGCCCGCAAGAGGGAGGTGGAGGTGTCAGGGGCGGCGGCACGTGGTGGGCGACATGGAGGTGTGACAGTCGGAGCCAGCAGCAGCAGACAGGTCCAGAAGCCATGGGAGAGACATGGAGTGACGGTTGTGTCGCATCGATGGACGTCGGAGCGGAGCGGGGGCCGGGATGTCGGAGAGTCCATGGGTCGCACAAGCGGATCCGAGCCGTAGTTCACAGTCGGTGGGAATGGAGTCGAAACAGAAACGTACGCAGAGACGAGCAGTCCAGAGAAGATCCAGCGTCAGCACTCATTCACTCGCCTTCGCCGTGTGTCCGTTGCGCTTCTCGCTCGTCGGGTCGTCTAGCGCGGACAGTGACGCAGTGTCAACAACCCAAGCTTGGGAACGGTGGCGGGCGGCGCCGTGTCCGTCCCCTCCCCTTCCTCCTCCTCCTCTCGCGAGCTGGAAGCAGCACAGCGCAATACTCACCCTGCCAGGACATTGTGAAGTTTGACTGTTCAGATGAAGCGGTAGAGGTTGAGACAAAGATGCTCGCTCAGTCTGGCTGAGTGATGGGGGGCAGAGACTGTGGTAGTAGGGGGGACCGATCGACGGGACCAAAAACCACGTCATAGCGTCGTAAAGGTCCGTTTGTGTGGCATGCAACAACCGCATGGTGGAGGTCAGACTGTGTCAGCGGCGCACGGATTTGGCGTGCTCTCCGCCCCTCTCCTGAGTTTCCACTGCGATCGCGGTATGCTGAGCAGCTGTGATCGATGGGCTTCTTGCCAACACTGCGGTGCGCATTGCGTCTCATAATCCTTCAAGAACGCTGCATCTCGGATAGTGCTACTACACAAGCTTGTAGGAGTCGATTTTTGCAGGTTGTCCCGAGTCCGAGCCAGCTTGACCAGGCGCAACTCAGCCTGCAACTTGGGCGCCTCTACCCTGATGCGACGCAGTGCACGGGACAGACGCACTCGTTCTCGCACAGCCAAACACATCTCTTGCCGTTTGCACGGTCGACTTCCGCTTCCGCCACGAGGTTGTGAGACTCAGACCTCGGCTGATGTGGACGGATCTGAGGCACGCCAATGGGACTGTACAGTCACCCTCCTTTCAGAGATCAGAGAGCGCTCCAATCCCAATAGCTGATATGTGGATGTCGCTTCCAGTGCTGTATGCACGTATGCTGTGAGTGCAAGTGCTCTACAAGTCCGGGAAGCACTCTATCTGCCAAGTCTCGACCAGCGTTCGGCGTGAGTTTGCGAAGGAGTAGGCTCCAGATCTTGAACGTCTTTTAGTGCGAGGCGCGGTTGGAAATCAGTAGCTGCCGCGGTAGTCAGTGGTTGTCGTCAGTAAAATACTACCTGCTCCATGTGCGATGAACAGATTACAGACCCCTACTGAAACTACTAAGTGTTAACGTTGCTTATGCGTTCATGCCGCGATACACCTTTGGGCGCGCTTTTTGCAGAGCGTACGTGAGCGGAATGGCTAATGTGGAAGGTAATGCTTGGCTTAATCGAAGACGGCGCGGAGGATGAAGTTCGTGACGATGGCAGCGAGAAGGGCGATGCAGAGGATTGTCTGGATGTTAGCTGGGCGAGTTCGCGCGAGCTACGCCGTCCACTCACAGGACCGAGACGGTCGTCGTAGGGAGCTCCGGACCGTTCGCGGATCGCCTTCGCTCGCGCTTGGTACACTGTCAGGGCGTACAGCATGACACCGATAGCTTAGAGAGGTTAATTTTAGCCCTGCTTAAAGTAACATACCGATCATGGTGTAGAGAGCGGCGGAGATACGTCCAGCCTGTTCGTTAGTAGGCGCTCGTCAGTGCTTGCGGGCGTCCTTATTCGCTCGCAGCGGCGATGTTTCGAGAAGCCTCGCCGATCACCGGATGGGCTGCGGAAGGATTGGAAGCACGCGACCAAACTCACCTTGTCACCAAAGTTGAGGAGACCAACGGCGAGACCGCCGAGGACGACGGCGAAGTGGAGCCACGAGAGGAAGGTACGCCTGTAAGTCAGTTAAAGCAGTAGGTAACACAACTCACTCATTGGCGAAGAACACCTTGGGCTCAACACGGACGGGGAGAGCGATACGCTGTTGACAGAAAACATCGAAACATTGATCGACACGGCAATGAACAAAGCGTAATGGAGATTAGCGTGCAGGTGAGAGATCAGTCAGCGCCTGTCAGACGGAGCGGATGCATGGTTACCAACCTTCTTGGCAGTACGCTGAAGGAGAGGCTGGGTGGACATTTTGCGGCGGAGAGGTTGGGATGTGTGGTGTGGGGCGAGGAAGGGCTAGATGGCAGTGGCGAAGTGCGGGTGTGCCGGTTTCACGCTGCGCGGGTGACAACGACGAGGAAGCGGAGACAGCGACGGAGCGAGCGTAGGCGGTCGAGGTGAGGTCTCCAGTGAGCTTGGTATGGATGGAGTTGGAGAAAAAGCAAACGACGTCGGTCTCCACTACTGCTTTGGTCGAAGCGAGGATGGCGCCGATCAGTTATCGACCATGCACGTGCGTCACTGAACGAACCGTCAATGAGACTCCACTCTGCGCGCTGCGCCGGCTCTGGCTGAATCCTAACCCTGCCTGGTCCGGTCTAGGAGAAAAGCCCTCTTCGTCATTCTTCCGGGGCCCTAAGTGGGTAGGCGTGCAAAAGGCATTCCTTGTAGGCCAGCCATTTCTTTGTGCACCTAGCCGACAGTCACGTGACATAAAATGTGCCTTGTTCGGCGTCCTCAGGGCTCGCCAGCTCCCAACGTCATTACCGTTGAGCATGGAAACCTTAATTCGCACGGATTTCGAGCCGAGGACCGTCTCCCGGTTTCCGTTGTGTCCCTTGAACGCGTCCTGGAATGCTCTCCGCGAAAGGTCGCTGCTCGTCGTTAGTGCGTTCTTGACCGGATCCAGCTGTTGAAATGTATGTAGATGCCTTTGGAGGCTATAAGGGAAGTGGCATGGCCACGGTAGCCGTCTTTTTCGTATGTGCCGAGAATCAATACACATCCAAGGTTCAGTTGAAGCAAAAAGCAAGAGTGGTTCCGTGGAACGGGCAGGGGGAAGAGATAGGAGATGCCCCCCCCGGGGTCGACGGGGTCGACGCGCCCTCGGCGGGTAATTTATTACGCTCGGGATCCGCAGTGCCGTCATTTACCTGGAGGCAAACGATCATCTGCTTCAGGCAGTCCAGCGAGGGGCCGAGCGCCGTGTGCTCCGAGCGGTCCGAGGTGTCGGATCCGGACGGACCTTCTGCAATGCTCTGTTCTGGCAGAGAGATGTGCGACTCTGACCCAATTCAGAGTGCGTTAGTGGTGGAGAGTGAAGGAACGCGAGGAACGTGCAGTGAGTTGTGGCACCGCCCCCAAGCCATGCAAGCCATTGGCACAAGGCCGTTGAGCGCCCCTGCCAATCGTCGAGCCGACAGGCGGCAGCGCGCGCAGAGGGCAGACCTCGGGGCGATCGGGGCGGGGGCGCATCGCAGCAGCGCAGCACGCAACGACGACTCCTATACACCTGTCTGGTACGATGGTGCAACTGGTTGTCCCGGACACCGCTTCGACGACTCTGGTTGCTGGACGGTGTGTGCAGGCTCTGCCGGCATGAAGGGCGAGTGGGATGGTCATGCGAGCGGATGCATTGAGCATGCGAGTGCACGCGGGCAGAGCACAAGGCAGAAGGGGGAGGCAGACTGATGCGTCAGGAACGATGATTCGGAAGGCTGAGGATTCAAAGTTTCAGCATGGCTCGTTAATGTTTGGGACTTGATCACTTGAGTCGTGTATGTGTGTGGGCTGCTCGTACGCCCAGAGAGAGAGTCGAGTCCCATCCCACCCAGCACTACACCGCCAGGGAGGAACAGAAAGTTCCGTGCATCCATCCCCATGTCACTTGTGCTGTCGTTTGTGCCTGCTCGGTCGCTCCACCAGCATATCACTAGTCTGCCAAGCAATCGGCCTGGCGATGCACCGCATAGGAAGCATGTGGGCCGCGGTGACCTGCTGCAGTCCGCTGGAAGCAGCGGACCAACTGGGGCAAGGGCGAGGGAAGCGTCGGCCAACTCGTTCCCGTTCAGGGGTCTGTACGGTAAGAGGGAACGGTCCCAGGGCTGCCTGCCAGTCTACCGCCGGTCCCGCAACCAACACACCACCACATCCTCCAAGCTGGCCGCGACTTGCCTTTCGACGGCTCTCGACCTCGCGGCTCTTCACCTCCCGAGGGGTATCCTCCAGGGCGTTGGAATGGGCGGCTGCGGCTTTAATGACTGTGTGACTGGTCGCGCCTGGTCTGGGCGTATGTATACAGCTCTGTAGCACGGCAGGAATGTCCAGCCGATCTGCGTGATCTCGCCTCGGAGACGTGCCGACGGTAATTCCAGCGGGACACATGCAGGCCTCACGGGTTCGGTCCAGCTGTCAGAAAGGGGAAACTAGCCCGGTGCTGAGGGGCAGGCGCACCATCACGAAACTACTTGGCGCAGAAGTCGTAGGGGGAGTCGTGTTGTGTGTGGGTAAGGACGCAGTCACGGCTACCACACTCATCCTCCCTCAGGTAAAGTCGGGTCTTGTTTTCTCCCGCGCGTTGCAATCTCCCATCTATCCATTCATTCTTTCTTCACCACCACGCACCACGACAGACAGCCAAGACCGCTCGCCGCACTCGCACCGCGCACCGCAGACGCCTCGTGACTTGCGCACCAACTGTATCCATACGACCGACTCTCATTGTTCCTCTTCACCCAACCTCCAACACGCTGCTCCTGTTCATTCAGCTACCAACCCACCCCACCATCCGAGACACCACCTTCACTACTGATCACCGATCGAACCTGCCCCCAACTCCGCCAGGCGTTGTCTGCCGCCCAGAGCCCTTGACGCTCCTTTCACAAACGAGGCGCACGCCTGTGGTCTTTGTCCTGTCCCACCCTGTACCGAGTGCATCGGCGGGTTAGCTGGTCACCAAAGACATCAAAGTGAGTGTCCACAGTTTCCCACCTTCCACCTCCACTCCCTCGACCTGTCCCAACAATAAGCACAGAGTGGAGGGTCAATGTCGAACACATGCCAGGAGCGAGCCCGTGGGACGTTCCAAGGAACACCTTTCGGTTGCCATCACCTGAAGCAGCTCTTGACCGCTCGATTGTTCGTGCAGCAACGCCACCCGAGACCTGAGCGCATCGGCCAGTACTTGCGGTTCAGCCCCCACCCGCCCCGCGCATTCCCCCCATCTCCCACTCGGGGCAATACCGGACGGGGTCGTGTTGGCTGGCTGGCTGTCATTGCGAGACGAGCGTCGCGGCGCACGAGCCTCCCGACCAACCTGCATCCTGGACCACCCTGCAATTCGAGCGGGTGGTTAGCCTCTGCGTCAAAGTTGGGAGTTGGGCGCAAGGCGGTACCCTCGTCTCCTCGTTACTTGGACCCGAAGTTCTGGTGACCGAAAGCAGCAGCCAAATGCCATGCAAGCCAAAGCCAGAGACTCAGGCGACGACCCTCTGACCATTCACCCATCGTCCTTTGAGCCCGGAGCACCCCGCTGACACACTACTTCGCGCGCAGGTCAATCCGCATGTCATCGCAGCTCTAACACACCACCGCTTTCAACACCGCCGCCTCTCTTCGCACTACCTCTCGCAAGCGTTCCTTGTGCGAGTCGCGATCGACGAGCAGGTTCATTCCGAACGGCACCCCTGGCGATCCAGTCGTCCGCGTGATCTATCTTAAAGACGGCACGACGCTCTTCCTCTCGTCTTCCTCCCCCATCTCCGCTTCCGTTCACCACCCGATCACGCCTGATCACTTGCGATTGAACGGCCTCCGACATGTCAACCCGGCGGGCTGGACGCGGCCTCAAGGTCGCACACCCGGCTGCACCGACATCAAATCGCTTATTGAGCACGCAGACGTTTACGCTCATCGCAAGCTGGAAAGGACAGCTAGTCATTTGCACCGTTGTGCTAGTCGTCGGAGCCATCTACTTTGTTGTTCGAGAGCCTATTCGTGAATGGAGAGAACGGCAACGGGAACGAATGTCTCGCGCCTTTACAGAGGAGCTTCTTTCGATGGAGAAGAAGGAGGACGGTAACGTCGGTTCAGGCGACAGGAACCGTGCGGGCCCAAGCACGGTCGCGGGCACTTCAACAGCTGTCGCGACGGCAAAGACCATGAACGCACGTGAGCGAGGGAGAGAGAAACGCAAGGAAAAGAAACGCAAAGAGCATCTCCAGAACGCCAACGGGCACGCCGCTCCTCGCCCTCCTCACGAACCAGGCCCATCCAGCAAGCCCTCACCGTCCGATCAGTCACCGGCTCGTGTTACCGAAACGCTTCCAGGGCCCTCAACGCCTTCTACCGCAGATACCCGCGACGCATCCATGACCGTTACCCCCGCTTCCTGCCCGACCTCCATGGGACCCCAGCCCTCGTCCTCGACTTCAAATGCAAACAACGAGATTGCTGATAACACTTCATCTCCACCACCGCAAGTTGGCAGTGAACTTGAAGTCCCCAGTCCTCCCATTGTCGAACCACCTGCAAGCCCGGAAACAATGAAGTCTCACTCCCCTCCCCTGTCCCCGCGAAAGACTCACACTTCCGAGCACCAGCCCGAATCTTTCTCTCCCGGAACGCCCGAACGTCGGGACAGCCACAGTTCATCACGCTCACGCTCCTACTCGATCATTCCGGATCCATCATACCTTCCTCCGCATCACCACGACTCGAACAACAAAAAGAAGAAGCGCAAGCCGAAGAGCCGTCAAGCTTCAGCTCAGCAGCAGCCGCAACCGCAGCCGCCGCAATCGCAGCAGAAGCCATCGACCACCGCTCAGGCCACTCCGATGTCGCGCATAGTCACTACTTCTTCTGAGGACGCACCACGGACAGACGCACCGCGGACCCCTCGAACCCCTATGATTCCGATCATGTCCCCCGACGTTGCTCGACGACGAATCAGGGCCAGCGGTGTCGAGCTTCCGCCCGAGGTTGAGGTTCTCCTCGACAGCCACGAGCACACCATCGACTCACTGCGAGCCGAGATTGGCCGCGCAACGGCAGAGGAGTGCAAAGCTCGCGACGATGAGGTTCGCGCGCGCGAGGAGCTCAGGCGATCACGAGCGACAGAGGACCGGATGCGCTCAGACTACGAGCGCGCGCGTAAGATGCGGGATCGTGCCGAGCAGGAAGCTCGTCGCATGGAGGGAGAGGTATGTGTGACTGTCGCACGACAAACAATGCTGACATGCCGCAGGTGCAGATGATCTGGAACCGCTTTGAAACGTTGTCTCACATGTATCAGGCCGTTTGCCAACGGCTACGCGAGGTCGAGGCGGCACAGCAAAGCGACGGTACCTCCCCGACCGGTCCGACCACTCCGGCCCCGCCGCAGCTCCAGCCTTTGATGGCTTTTGCGAATGGTATCCCAGGAACGCCAGGCGTGATTCTGCCGTACCACATGGTTCCGTCACCACTGACGCCGCTCGGCTTTGGCATGCCGCCAACAATGTACCGACGAGGCGACAGCGCTAGCAGCGAGATGCTCGCCGGGCCGTTAACGCCTGGTCACCAGCCGTCAACGCCCTCGGGCACATCATCGCCGTACCCATCCGACCTGTCCCTCAACCCGGGGTCGAGGACGCATACCGAGTCGGGATCCATGACGACGGCGGAGCTGCGGCGCATCAGCATTGCCTCGTCAGTGCTCAAGAAGAAGAAGCCGTCACCGTCCGAGAGCGGCGAGTCGAGCGCGCCGTCGGCAGCCGCGACCTCATCAGACGACAAGTCGAGCAGCGGCGTCGAGGGTCTCGGCATTCGCGCCTTCAGGGATGTGTCGTCGACCTTCCCGTCCGCAATCACAATGACGCCAGCGAAGAAGCACTCGACCGACTCTGTCGACTGCTCGACGGCGTCCTCGTCCCCGCCAGCTGAGCGGCACATCTTAATCACGCCCTCCGAGTCTGAGCACAACGGGGACCACTCGCCGAAGAGCATGAGCCCGCTGCTGAACGGCCGCGCGATGCTCGACGGAGAGCCAGAGGTGACGCCAAAGCAGCTCGTGGACGAGCCCAAGTCTCTGGCCGAGCCCATGTTTGCTTCTCTGGCGCACACGCCGGAGCAGCTAGCGGAGATTGCGCGTATGCGCCAGTCGGCCATCCGGGACCGGGAGCGCAAATCGCGCGCAGCCAGCGTCGAAGTCAAGGTCAACAATAGCGTCAACGAAACGGCCAATGCCAACGACAAGTAACGGACACACGGACACTACCCCTTTCCCTCTCATCGCCATATCGCCCTCAGCGGGCTGTTTTGCCATTATAACAACTTTACACTTTACTGCATCGGTGCGCATGCACGCTGCCCTCACATTATTCCCCCCCCCCTTTCTGTGCTATAGGACTCTCTCTCCCTCTAGTGGCCCCTGTTGGTCTGTCACTTATTCTCTACCACGTTGTTCTGATATGACATGCACGTTACACTGCACTAGCACGGGAGGACGTTTGGGTCTCGGTAGAAACATGGGAAGCCAGTGTCCGGGTGTCGCTAGTTCATCTTCTGCACTCTTGCAAGGGAGACCTAACTGCCCATTGTTCCTTGCACCACGACTATCATCTTGCACACGCAGTCAGAGAAGTCATTGCATGAAACACACCCACTGAGCGGACATACAGTATCAGCGATGCACTGCGGAGAGGCGAGAGGAGGAGTAACGTTGTCCGCTCGTTGGCTCGTTGGGGGGCCAGTGGACATTGTGGGAGGGGCAACGCCCAGGGAAAAGGAGGAAGGCAGGGAGCAAGCGAGCAAGGCTGTGCCCGAGTGATGAGTGAGAGTGATTCGCACTGTGATTCGGCGTGGGCCGCTTGCTATGACGCTGGCAGAGGTTGCAGACGCAGGCTGTCTCTGCTGTATTTCGCAGATTTGCATGCTTGCCCCAACCAACTTGCTTTTCCACAAGCTCCTCCCCTTCTTTTCAGCTCCCCTCTCAAATGCTCTATGCGTTCAGAGGGGAGGATGAGAGTACAGCTTTTGTGTCGATGGAAGTTTTCGGATCGCAAGTAAAGTTGGGGTGGAGGTTGCCGTTACATGTAACAGTTTGCTGGAGCGTAGACGAGCGTAGTAGACTGCAGTGCGACGAGAAAGAATGAGCCATCCCTAAACAGGGCCAAGAGGTTGGTGCCTGAGTACCGTCTCTTGGTGGGATATGCTGACCACACGCGTCTTGACCAAGTGGTGGACCCTGGACACACACCCTTGACATTCCCTGGCGACATCGATCACGTCCATCGCTGGCTATAATACTACTGCATCGCTTCTTGCGACGACGCTCCTGAGATTGTTAGTCCTGATAGCAGGTCGGTGTCCAGCTGGATGTCACTCTTCATCCCACCCCCCTCAGTCTCAACAGCACGGTACAGGACGCACTACGCACGACGACGCTGGACGTTGAGCTCAGCCAGGTCTCATTACATTGCATTGTCACTCGACTCCAAAACGACGCACGAAAGCAGGCCTGACCGACATTCGTGCGAACCTAAACGGCGCCCTGTCAACACAGGTCTTTGCCAGGTACGGGTCTGCCGAAATCACCCATCACCCACTAGTACTAGTTTTCGCGTCGTCTGTCGTCTCGTAGTCCTTGAGAGTCTCGCCGCCACTCAGAATTCATTTGGACCAACGACGTGGAAAACATTCAGACAGACCTTTAGGTCTAAACAGCACACTACATCTTCATCACAAACAACCACTCGCCGCTGGGCCTTATACCCCCTCTTCTTCTTCTTCAACAACGGCCCACTGCACCTGCACCTGCAACGACCCCAACGACCTGCACAGCGTGCACTCACCGGGCCACTGTTTGCCTCCGAAATCACGACACGACACGCCGGTTCATTCAGTCCAGCTGGTTCACTGGGCTGCGGCGTAACCGCGTAACCAACCGTGCAAACCATTTCGTTGGCTGCGTCTCGTAAAATAACACCCGGGCACCGCTTCTCGTCTTTCCTCATCCCACCACACTCGCACGTCTCACACGTCTCACACGGCCCTCACTTCACCACACTTTCCAAACGGGGCCGGTGAAAGTAGGACTGTGAATCTGCACGCATTTCTTCTTACTCTCCGATACACACCACCGAGCGGTCCGCCGGATCGACTTCCGTTTCGCCTGACCGGCCTGCTTCGCCCGTCCTCCCCTTCTCAATTTCTCCTCGACCACCCCTCCCACCACC